CCACACTGGTTCTCTCAGTTTGTCACAGCCTCAACTAGTCATTTACTGGTCACAGTCTTCTAACAAGGGCTGTTCCTCACACCCTTATGGCTCAAGAACTGCACATGCTAACTGCTAACTCAAGACTACTGCTCTGCCCATGGCTACTTAGTCAGATCCCAAGACCTCCTTTCTCAGACTGAATGCAAGCTCAAAGAGGCTCCAGTTTTATGGCTTCAGTGCATGATGAACAGAAAACACCTCTTCTCACAATTCTTCTATTGTTAAATTACCTCTGTTGCCATGGTAGCCAACTGTCACATAACACTTACAGAGCCTTCCCTAGCAAGTGCCATCTCTGCTGGTTCTGCAGGTCTGGCTTTGAGCTCTCATATTATGGTATGTACTCACATACACATACATCTCCCAATCTCGTGAAGCAGTAGTCAGAGAATTTTATTCTTGTTCCTTGAGTAGTGATGTCACACGAATAGTTTGTCATAGTAGTACTCAATTTATGAGCAGTGAATTCATATTGATACACTTTACAACTTACATGGGAGTGGAAAGATTAAGTTCTATTTAAAAAGGTTAAGTTGACCTTGATATCTCATAAAAGAAATGAAAGATACAAATAATCTGTTTCATGTGCCATATGTCCCCCTTCAGGGCAAACAGATTTCACCTGAAGCATTTTGTGATGGAATGGATAATAAAGGAGTTATTCAGGGTGATAAGGTTAAGTGGCTCATCCTGTAACAGTGAGATGAAGGTTCAGAAATTACACAGTTTCAGGTTAGCATAACAATGAATTATCAAGTGTGGAAACATTGCATGAACATGAGTTACTTAGTATATCATGAATGAGTGCCCAGTCTTTCCTTCACTGTATCCTGTCTATTCTGTGAGTACTAACAATATTCTGATTTGGATATATGAAGTGTAGTGTACCATATAAAGGTGAAGATTTACAGTTGACTACTTGTGTCCATTTTGTTCATGGGAGATGGCATTAAACATCAGTCTTGATGCATCATTCAGTAACATGTGAGACTGGAAAGGAATAAGGGAGAAAGGTGGGGAAGTTAATAGTATGAAAGGTTATATAACTATTGAGGCATGCAGTAGCATAGTGGGTTGAGGCACGAAACTATAAGCTGGAAGGTTGCGGGTTCAGTTCCTGAACTGAGTTTTGTGTCTCCATGCCTCATCTGTCAAAACGGGATATTGGGGTGTTTTATGCTATCCTCTTAGGTCCAGGCAATGTTGTTTCCCCCTATTTTATGTGATTCATTAAGGTTCTTTGTTGTTGTCAAATTGTTTCTCCTTTCATTGTGTATTGAGGCAGTACACAACAAAATGAGAAACAACTTGACAACAACACAGATCCTTAATGAATCGTATAAAAAAAGGGGAAACAACATTGCCTGGACCTCAGAGGACAGCGAATAACACCCCAATCTCACGTTTTGATGGAAGGGGCGCAGAGACACAAACCTCTCAGCAATTCAAGATTTTAAATATGTCACCTGTAGGAGGGTACACATGACAAAATGACAGGTTCTAGTTCAGATTTATTAACAGCTTTGTTACACGCACTCTCTTAATTACACTCAGATACAGGGCTATTGCTGATTTACATACAGTTTATAATCTACTGCACTGTCGCACACATAAAGTCTTCTAAATCACGCTTGACATCCTCACAGGCAACCTTCTGTATTCCTGGTTCCACTTCGCTTGCTTCCGCCACTCTCAACTACTCTTAACTGCCTCAACACTGACGAATACTCTTGTTATGTAGCTTCTGCACTGACCACACAGAAAACAGCCTATATTGTTGGAACGTGTTTACTGAGCGATTGCCCAGCAGCAGACTCCATAGAAACCAGTTAAGTGATAGCTACCACTGTTGCGTGATGTCACAGCCTAGCGTGGAGGGGTGTTTACTGAGCATCTTGTAGCGACAGAGTGGGTGGGGGTATGTGACATCATTTGCGGAAAAGCAGAGGTCATGTGACCCCTGCTTCCTGTTGCACAATCCAAGCATTCGCAGAGTTGTCATTTAGCAACGTGCTGATACAATCTGCAACTTTCCCATTGCGCACGTGCCCCAAGGCCTCTGTGGCTCAACTGTTCCTGCATAGAGCAAATACACCACATTGCTCCATCCTTTTTGTCCTGAATAGCCTAACGGTGGATCCCTGTTCCTTTTCTTCCCTTTGTCTGTTCTCCAACCGCTACATCTGCTCTTTCATTAAGACCAGCTCGTCCCAAGCGGTTTCCTGCTAACATGCCAGGAAATCCAGTTGTATCACAATAATCCAAAGTTTCTACTTTCTTTCTCTCTCTCTCTCTCATTTAATCTCACTGGGGAGAACATTAATAATATATTTTTAACTTAAACACATTTTAACTTTAATAATTAAAAATATTTATACAAAAGTTTAAGCATATGCACTATGATCTGTGTAATAGTATTTCCTTAGCATGTTGTTTTGCCTTCTGAAGATGGTCACAACTGACCGAAACATGCAAAGGCGCTATATAAATATTTACTGAGTCACACTGGACGGTGTTGTCAAATCGTTTTATAATAATTAACCAGTGTGACGGACCAGAATGAATAAAGTTAAGTTTATATCAAATTATTTGCACTCATTCGACAACAGTTTTGAAAGTGTTCTGCGTGGGCACTCTTTCACAGCAACACTTGTACCATGGCCAGATTGTAAAGTGAGTGCCCCCACTGGCCTTTAACCTTTATTTTGCAATTTCACGTTTTCTGCAACATGCCATGTGCAGTGATGTCTTCATATGCCAGAAATTATCGTATGTTTTGATTTCCTTGGTACGAATATACAGGTAGTACAATATCACATATTGGTGGTTTTCTGTCACCTTTTGCTTGGTGCTAGTTGCTTTCATGTGAATCCTGTGTTACTTAAGAGACATTTCTTTTATTCAGCCCCAGAGGTTCTTCGTAATAAGGGCTATGATCGCTCACTGGATATGTGGAGTGTTGGTGTTATTGTATATGTTAGCCTTAGTGGGACATTCCCTTTCAATGAGGATGAAGATATCAACGAACAGATTCAGAATGCCGGATTTATGTATCCTGCAAACCCTTGGAAGGAAATCTCTTCAGATGGTAAGTAAATCTGTCATCATTATTATGATAGTATACTTTTCAGTTTATCCTTTTCTGGATATTCACCTGGCAAGCCTGTTTGTATAGTGGTGACATTCTAGACTTCAGTATAGGGTCGACAGAAAGCATGTTGATGTTTTAACAGGAATTTGTGAAAACATTAGAGACCTGTATGGAGGAATAAATGAATTTAAGAGAGGTTACCAACCTAGAAGTAACTTAGTGAAGGATGAGAATGGTGATCTGCTTGCAGATTCCCACAGTATTTTGAATATGTAGAAGAACTACTACTCTCGGTTATTGAATATACATAGGGTTATTGGCGTTAGGGAGATAGAAATACATACAGCTGAACTGTTAGTACCTGATTCAAGTCCTTTTGAGGTTGAAATTGCTATTGCAGAGTTGAAAAGGTATGGCAGGTAGTTATCAAATTCTGGCAGAATTGAATCAAGCAGGAGGTGAAACGTTATGGTCTGAAATCCATATACTCATTAATTTTAATGGGAATAATAAAGACTTGTGTGATCAGAGGAAGCAGTCTATTATCATACCACTTTAAAAGAAGGGCAATAAAACTGACTGTAGTAATTATCGGGGGATATCACTGCTATCAACTTCATATAAAATTTTATTCAGTATTTTTCTGTCAAGGTTAAGTCCATACATAGATGAAATTATTGGGGATCATCAGTGTGGGTTCTGACATAACAGATCAACTACTGATCAGATCTTTTGCATTCATCAGATACTGGAAAGAAAATGGGAATACATAAGCTATTCATAGACTTCAAGAAAACCTGTGATTCAGTTAGGAAGGAAATATTGTACAATATTCTGAGAGTTTTGGGGACCCATGAAACTAAGTAGGCTGATTAAAATGTGTTTCAATTAAACGTATGTTAAAGTCCATGTAGATAAACATTAGTCGGATAATTTTCCTATCCAGAATGGTCTAAAACAAGGAGATCCTTTATTGCCACTGCCTTTCAACTTTGCTTTAGAATATGCCATTGGGATGATCCAGGGAAGCCAGGTGGGACTGAAATTAAATGGGACACATCAGATTCTGGTTCATGCTGATGATATAAATCTACTGGCTGATAATATAGATACCATAAAGAAAAACAAACTTTAATTGACGCTGGTAAGGAGGTTCGTCTAGAAGTAAACACTGATAAAACTAAGTATATGTTGCTGTCTCATCACTGGAATACAGGCCAAAATCATGACATGAAGATAGCTAACAGATGTTTTGAAAATGTGGCACAGTTCAGATATTTGGGAATGACAGTAACAAATTAAAACCTAAATTAGAAGGAAATTAATAGAAGATTGAAGTCAGGTAATGCCTACTACCATTCAGTCCAGTACCATTTGTCTTCTCATCTGCTGTTTAAAAACATAAAAATTAGAATATACAGAACTAACGTATAATCTTCCTAGACTGGTTTAAATACAACATAGAATTAATTTTTATGCTATTTAGACTTTTAATATTTCTATTTTCATCTTTTTATTGTATATTTATGTTTTAGTCATAATCATAACATGAATTGTATACTAAATCATATATATATATACCTAATATATAAATATATATTGGCTAGCAATGCAGCCATCAGTTGCAAAAATACGGATCTGTATTACAACCAAATATTTTAATCACTTGAGTTATGGTCATGAGTGCCTGGCAACCTAATTATATGATCAAAGCATGTAGCGCAGTTACGTATATATTTATCACGTATGATATATACCAACACCTATTGTCTATATTGAAAATAATCCTATATTACTTGTTGTATTGACAGTCATAATATAAACAATTAAATAATAATGTATAATTTTGCTTGTGGTTCTGTATGGGTATGAAACTTGGCCTTTGATGGTAAGGGAGGAACATAGAGTGAGGGTATTTGAGAACAGGGTGTTGAGGAGAATATTTGGACCGAAGATGGATGAAGTGACAGGAGGTTGGAGAAAACTGCAGAATGAGGAGCTTCATAACTTGTACTCTACCAAGTATAATTACTCATAGAATGATCAAGTCAAGGAGGATGAAATGGTCAGGGCATATAGCACAAATGGGGGAGAGGAGAAATGCATATAGGATATTGGTTGGAAAGCCAGAAGGAAGGAGACCACTAGGAAGACAAATACATAGGTGCGTGGGTAATATTAAGATGGATTTTAGAGAGATAGGATGGTTTGGTATGGATTGGATTGATCTGGCTTAGGATAGGGACCAATGGAGGGCTGTTGTGAACATGGTAATGAACCTTTGGGTTCCACAAAATGTTGGAAATTTCTTGAATAGCTCTGTGACTGGCAGCTTCTGTAGAAGGGCTCAGCTCCATGAAGTTAGTCCAGTTAGTGACTGTCGTATAGGGGCATATGTGAAGTTTATGTTTTATATACAGGGTGTAAATAAATATATGTTACAACATTCTATGGTGGATAGATGGTATCAATGTGATAATGTTTTGTTAATACACTCATGTCCAGAAACGCTTTCTTGACGCGCTAGGGCCTCTGAAATGTGAAGGAGGACGCCCTCACCTCTTACCTGTGGCTTACTGGTGACATTTGCATATCATTTCTCCAAGAGACCTTACCCAAGCTGCTGGACGTTGTGCCTTTGGAAGTCCGTCATGAAATCTGGTTCTACCATGATGGCGCCCCGACACACTGCACTAATGTAGTCTGTGAATATTTGGATGAAACCTTTGGCAACAGGTGGATTGAATGTGGGGGCCCAATAACCTGACCCCCCCATTCCTCTGACTTCACTGCATTGGATTTCTTTCTCTGGGAGTACATGCAAAGCCTGATGTATCAGACTCCAGTGGAGACACAACATGATCTTATGGAAAGAATTGCATTAGCAGCTGGAACCATCCTGGGAATGCTGGGAATCTTTCAAGGAGTTCAGCATAATGTAGCTAGGCAGAACAGAATATGCAGTGAGTTGGCGGCCGCCATTTTGAGCAACTATTGTAATGTAAAACGACAATAACATCCCCTAAAACTTATGCATCATCTTTGAAATTTTGTGACCCTTAGTGCCAAAAGGAAGTGTTTCTGGACATTGGGGTATTAACAAAATATGATCAGATTGAACCCATCTATCTACCACAAAGCATTATAATATATTGTCACGTGTTGGGTGTATAGTGCGACAAATAACTTCACACCGTATTGGATATAGTGAATTTATTGCACATTCGCTCTTACAATCACACAATTTACAATTTCTCAAGTACTGCTATCTGCAGTATTACAGTTACTTGGCCTGTGCATGCTAGACTACAACTGACTGGTTAATCGCTACTCACTAACTAGCTCACTCACTCACTCACTCACTCACTAACTAACTCCTGAATAGTGTTCACTGCTCCTTATTTAGCCTCGGCACGGACAACACAGAAAACAGTTACGTAATAGGTGCCGCTGTTGCCTGACGCCATGTTTACAGGTTGCCTAGCAACACTGTCGAGAGTTGTTTACTGCTATGCAGCAACTGCGGTATCCCTTGGTAACAACACAGTCTTCCTTCTGCCACGTCACCACAGGGGAGGGAGTGTTTACCGAGCGTTGGGTGGTAATGGAAGGGGTGGGGGTATGTGACGTCACTCGCAGACTGCAGAGTTCACGTGACCCCACGTCACAACATATTTATTTACACTCTGTATATGAACACTGTAGTCATTCATTCTGTATACAATTGGTATGATCTCATGATTGCAATAAAACATGAATCTAGAAGCTCCTGATGATGGATTATTAGAATGAACATGATTATTATTTTGGAATTATCTGTCACCTTGAGCTTTCTTAAAAAACTTTGTTGCAGAAACAGAATTTTTCCTGTCATGAGGTGTAACTGGGGAAGGGTCCGTGCTCATATGAGGCCATTAGAAAGAGCTAGTTTGACCACTAGACTTGACTTTTTTAAACACATCATTTTGGAAAATAGATCTGTTTTCTAATCAGTCCAGTGTTTGAGAGTAGCTATTCTTAGTGGGCTCAGATGGGTAGGAACATTTGTCCCCTTATGCCTGATAATCGAAAGAGTTTCACTTTATGGAACATTGTGTTTTAAAAAAGTACAAGATGATGGACAGTAATAGTCCTGTTTACAACAGAATATGTTGCATTTTGGTATATATTTTATGTTGGCAGCTATTGATCTGATCAACAACCTGCTGCAGGTGAAACAGAGAAAGCGATACACAGTTGCCAAGTCTCTTGCACATGTTTGGTTACAGGTGAGTTATGAACATTTTGTCATGTGAGACTTGAGACTGTCAAGGAGATACTGTCTTCTTGGATTTGTTGTGTAGTTTGGTAGATCAACACCAATGTTGCAGAGCAGTTTGCTGCCTCTACCTTCAGGGTAATCTGAAAATGGAGGAATCGGGTTTCCCTGAAATGTGGATAATGACTTAAAGATTAGATAGACTGCCTTACTTTCTGCTTGTTGGAGTTACTGTTCAACCCTGAAGATGGAAGCAGTACCTTCTTCCAAAATGTTGGTACTCTTCTATCAGGTGGCATGACATAGTATTCTACAAGATTGTGTGCTGTTCATAGTGGCCCTTGTGAGAATCACAAATCTCATGCGATGGTGACTGACTGAATCGTGAAGCACTGTTTGACATCCTTCACGCATTGGTTGCATGAAGTGGTGCCTACTTTATTTCAGATCCTTCTGTCTGTATGATGAATGTAGGAGGAGCCACAATAATTATATATAGTCATTTTTCAATTTACATGGTAGATGCATCCTGGAAAAACATGGAAATTATAAAAGCGTAAATCAAGAGCTAATTTTCAGTAAGAAATGAAGGAAATTTTGGGGGGTTGCCTATGTGGGACAAGCCAGCCCAGAGAGTTACAGATATTTATTCATGTAAAATATTTTGCTTAGTCTTCTCTTTGTTCGGTGGGTTAGGTATTATATTTCAGATTATGCATGATCTGTGCACACAGTTATATATGTATGTATCTTCTATTTTCTTTACTGCTTCACAGTTACCTGCCATGTTGCTTAGTACAGATCACATATTCACAGTGAATTGAGGATTAACTGATGTAAATTAATAAGACCATAAGTGACTGTACTTTGGTGATATATTTATGTGTACAAGTTTGCCTGATACAGATTAAAACTTTGTCACTTTTTTCAGATTTAACCTATTTCCTTGTTTGTAGTGTTTGTCATGTAAAAAGAAGTGTTTCATATGGAATATGATCAAATTCTGATATAACGAATACCTGTATGCCAGAAGTTACATTCTGCATTCTTTGTGCTGTAACTTGGTAGGACTACCAGACGTGGTGTGATCTGAGGAAACTGGAGACTCAAGTTGGAAACCGCTATCTGACACATGAGTCTGATGATGCTCGCTGGGAGAACTTCTGTAGGGAACGCCTCTGACCGTCCAAAAACTGGCTTTCATCTGCAAGGACCAGGTGTCGCAAACTAATGAGGTTGCAGCCTCAACAGTGCTCATGAGTGTAGCATGTGACATGATAGGACAGGAACCAGGGGCACATGTCTTATGAGAAGTAGCATTCTTCCACCTCAGCACTATGCCTGAATTGCAGTTGTATAATACTGGATGTCGGGGATCAAGAAATTGTTGAAAATCTGGCAGCCAGACAAATAGTTTGGTTGCCAGAAAAGGTGGGTCAGTATTCTCTGTTGCCTTGCTGTGGCTCTTGCCTCTATATGCCATGCAAGATTTGTTTCTTCCTTCAGTCATACCCTGTCCCAAACACCCACAGACCAGGCAGGAGATGAGACAGAATCAGTTTTAGCTTACCACTTATGTTGGTCTTAATTTATTTGGATTTGATTTACCATTTCCTGTGTGCCACAAGTGGCCAAGTGAAATTTCCAGAAATGCAAAAGCCAATTCCCAAAGGCCAAATGGGAAATTAATTGCAGGAAAAAATTTCTTGGTCACTGCTAGTGACTGGATGACTGGCCTTTTTGACCCTTGCTAGATGTTACAGCACCTGCATTTCCACTCGTTACATTCAGTCTCTGAAATCATGTACAGAAACTTGATGGGTGTAGATGCAGTGTTCCAGCAATAGATGTTATATAAGTGCCTTGAAGCTGCATGAGCACTTGAGGTGGTAAATTCTAAAGGTGTCTGGTGATGGTGTATAACACTTAGAATTACTTGGTTTTTAGACTTTGTCCATCATATGATAGTCTAAAAATTAGAGAGCACAACGTTTCAAAAACTGGATCAGTTTCTGTCTTCTCCCCACTCACCTGAGGACTGAAACGGACCTGGTTTCCAAAACAGGATACCAGATGATGGAGAAAGTCCAAAAACCCAGTACTTATGCCTTCAGGTGGTGTATAATATAATCAGTAAAAAGAATTTCTGAGTTAATGTTAGACATTTGAAGTGGGCCAGTCAGTAAAGTGACTGTTCACAGCCTGGAAGACTGAGTTCAGTCCCCAACAAGGTCAGGGATTTCTCTGAAGATTACTATTATGTGGAATGTGATGTGCATAGTTTGATAAATCATTACAGACACATCAGCGGAACACGTTGCATCCATCTTCAGGGTAGATGTATAAGTGAAGTATGGAAAAATGTGGTACATGTCTATCCACTCAGCTCAGCTTACTGTTCTGTGTGAAGATTTAAGCAGTGTGTCCTCCAAACAGTTAGTAACGATCTGCCAGCATACAAGGCATCACATACCAGAATGTGGTATTTGCTGTAGAAACATCACAGAGATTTCTTACTTTGCCACCACTTTCAGACTTGCCTTGCGCCCTGTCCAGTCAGCTTTCCTTGGAGCACTATATGCTTTTTTCCTAGCGGTAAAGTATCAGACACTCGAATCAAACCACTCACATCCATCTAGAGCCAGGAATGAGTAGAACATTAGCCTTACCTCGTTAGACTGCTTACCACAAAATCTGCTGTCAAGATACTGTCTTCTGGGATGTGACACTGTGTAGTCTGATAGGAACCCTGAAGAAAGAAGCAGCAGGTTCCTCTGAAGCATTGGTAGGTATCCACCGGGCTACACAGTGTCACATCCGAAAAGGCAGTGATGTTAATAGTTGCTGCTCTTATAAGCTCAGATCTCATGAGAATCTTACCTTTATGTTACCAGCCAATATGGTATTGGTATGGTATGGTAGCCTAGTCCAAATTAATTGTACAAAAATTCCATGTTACTTTTATTTTGTTTCAAAATGAGCCTATTTCTTGGCAGAATATGAAGGTTTCTATTGACAGATGTAAGTTGCTCATAAACTGACTCCAAAATGTTCATTTGATGGTTAGCGGATGGCAAGAGTTCACATATGGGAGCAGAAACCATAACCGTTAAGTGTGAATGCTGCCTTGTTGTTAACCTAGGAGAATGAATTGTGATTAGTGTTCTCTTTGACATTGGTTTTGACATGGTTAAAAATATTATAAATATTGATTGTTGGTTTGGTGAACTTTTGTAGGGATGTTCAGCTTCAAGCTAGTTTTGCTAAGTTTATTTTTTTCTCAGTAGAATTGTAGGATTTGAGGTTCTCGTAATAGTGGTTATGATAGTACTGTCTTCCAGTATATAATGCTGTGTAGGCCATTGAAAGTCAACAGATGTTTCAGTTGCCTCCATCTTCAGAGCCTCTGCTTGGCACCTGCCTTCTTGCTGGTATCTTGCTTGGCTTATTGTTCAACCCTGAAGATAGCAGCGATAGGTTCCTCTGAAACATCAGTTCACTTTCAGTGGAGTACAAAGCATTATATCCCAGAAGATAGTGCTTGTTTTTTAGTAGAATTACTGAATTCATTACCCCTTTAAATTTGTAGATGTTTGTATTATTAGTGTTATTGGTTTCCTCTTTAATACCAGTTGGATAAGTAAAAGGTTTAAAATTATTCCTGTATTTAATGAAGTACTATGCCATGAAGTCTTGGAGGAGTGGGAGTATAGCTCCATGCATTCTTAACCTTGATCCTAGATGAAGATGAGTGGTCAGCTTCACAACCTGAATTCTTTACTGCCGAGGAATGGGGCTGAAATACCCGTTGCACAGTAGGCTGGGAGGGACACTGGAGAGGAAAAGAAAATCTCTTGCCCCATTGGGAATTGAATCCTGATTCCACTGTCATCCAGCCCATAGCATAGATGATGTACAAACAGGTATTTACTGCTAGTGTGAAATAAAGAGTGCTACTTCGTCAGAATCATACACTTTTGTGTTGTATAATGAGACTGTGTATCGTTATGTCTTGAAATCCTTGAAATAAGTATGTAATGCACTGCAGTCAACCTATATGAAAGTATGTTATTCCTGTGAAATATCTCACAATGGTTGAGATTTTGGTGATGACTGTAGGGTTTACCAACTTGTGTGAAGGAGCATAGAAATATTGTTTTTGGTTTTTTATATGACATTGCAGTGTCAACAAACAGTGAAGCAACTCAAGCAGTAACCCAATGTAACATTGAACATTGAGTAGTGTTTAATATTTTCACTTTCGACATTTCCCTTCCTGGCTTTCCTCCCCACCCAGAGTTTTTCGCAGTGCACTGGCAGCAGGAAGTAGCTATTCAAAGTGTTTTCTGAAGGAGGAATATTTTGTTTTGTTGGAGTATGTTACTATGTGGTCTTGGGTGGATATGTCAGTCTGGACAAAGCACCACTAAATGACTGATGGAATGAAATAGTTAAGTCTTAATTATTCATACACCATACCCAGTTTATAGAGATAGAATTTGGGACAAACATGCTCTTGTATCATGTCTTCCTCTGCATTACCCTAGCATAAAGGTGTGACAGCACTCTATACAAACTTCTATTCAGGCTATACCTCATTTGTATCTTGCCTGAGTTGCTGCCTAGTCATATGGCCTATATGTGGTTTTCCTCAGTTTCTACAATTGAGTGCCAGTCATATACAGCATCACCTTATTTCAGTTATCCATTCACCGTCCGTTATCATCTCTCCATCATGTTTGATGATGTATAACTTGTGCAGTTGAAACAGCTTCACCGAATCATTCAAGGCTCATAGTCAGTGGATTTGTAAAATTTTAAGAAACGTTAATTTGTTAAGTTGTGAGAGATTTTGATATATATGTTATGAACCTTTCCTATGTAGCTACAAAAATTATTAACTTATTTGTCAATGAAGAACTTTCTTATGCACATTTTACATGTCTCCCACTCCTCCCTTACCCCTCTCCCTTTTTATAAGGATCGATGGACAGAAAGTCTTCACCTGTTTTAAATTACCACAATTTATTTTTTTCTGACTTCTTGTCCCCCCCCCCTTCACATTTTACTGATGTCTTCCCAGTGCCTGGCTGAATCATCTTATTCTGGGTCATCCCACAAGTCTTGTTCCCTTATAATTTAATTTAATTGTACTTTTTAGTATCCATGTTGTGTTCGTTTTTTTACACTCCAGGCTATTTTAAACAAAAATGTGATGGCACCATTCACACTGTGGGATGGGTAATGTCAAATATAGATGGTGCACAGTGTAGGAAGCTGAGAATGCCCAGCAGGAACCCTAGAAACAGTGGCCAATGGGGCTGAAGTGAAGCTGGGTCATGTGCCACAGGCTGACACTGCATGTCAGTAATATTTTCAAAACAGTGGCCTTTCCTGCAGGAGGTGAATGCAGTGCTGTGTCCTGTAGAAGTTTTGTGTTCAGAATTCCCATTTCAGAACAGATACTTCTAGAGTATTTTTCTGTCTACTGTGAAGACTATTTACAGAGAATTTGGGAAAGCTATAATGATTGTAAATGTTTGTGGTGAATGTGTGTTAAAATAAATATGGCTGTTACTTTGAACATTTGGCCATCACCTTTAGGTTTTTAAAGCACAATGTTTCAGAAATTGTGCTTGTTCCCATGAGCATTTGTTAGGCCGATAGAAAGATCCAATCTTAGTTACAGGTTCAACGAGTAGGAATCTTTCTTCCCTGATACCTGAGGACATAAATAGATCCAGTTTCAAAAGTACTATTAATTAGTTTTGATTGAGGAAGAAACTTGTTTAGTGGAAGAAATTTTTGACCTTCCAGGGCTTGTACTTTAATATACTGTCATTATGGTAAAAAATGATGGTTTGTTCTCATGTTCTCTCTCTGCCGGAAATCATTGCCACATAGCTGTAATCTTTGGTGAGTGACATCACATGTGGAATGCCCGCTGGAGCCACACCACTTGTCACATCATAGTTCCATTGGTTTTCAACTGGCGTTCTTTCAGCATTTATTTCATTTATCATTATTATTTTAGAAATTTATTTGATGTTATGGGTTTTGTAATTATATTTATTGTGTCAAAACAGTTTAACTACTTAAGTGAAGAAGTTATTTTATCATAATTGTACACTGCAATTTCTACAAGATGGTGAGCAGTCTGGAACAAGCATGTAGGTGTAATAGGTGTGCAGTAGACTTGCATTTGGCAGGTGCTTGGTTCAGATCTTGGTTGGGACATAAACTCTTCTGACAGAGGTCATAATTTTCCTCAGACTATACAGGCAAATGTCTGGATTTAATTTCATGGGGTAGGGTCAAACTGAGGCCACTTGGTACTTTGGCCACTAAATTACCTGTTGTACCAGCCCCTGATGATAGATGCGTATGGAGTATTGGTGGAATGAGAATTGGCAGGGGAAAATGAAATACTCAGGGAAATCCTACCCCCTACCACTATGTTCACCACAAATCCCACATGATGTGACCTGGGATTGAACCTGGGCTGCTGCAGTGGGAAGCCAGCGACTATTTTTTTTATTGCTAATGGGGTGGGACTAAATCCCTTGTACTGCGGCCACTTCTGGCCTATTGTACCAGCCCCAGATGATAGGTGAGGGTGATTGTGGAGATTGGCAGGGGAAACCGAAGTACTCGGAGAAAACCTGCACCAGTTCCACTTTGTCCACCACAAATCCCACTTAACCAGACCCGGCTTCGAATGTGGGCCGCCGTGGTGGGAAGCCAGCAACTAACCGCTTGATCTATGGCGCGGCCTTCATGTCTGGATAGTACCACAGTTAGGCAGTGACCGTTTCCCCCCAGGTCCAATTCCTTATTCACCCACCATGCTACTGTTTTGTGCTTATAAAGCCATTCCTCCGGAGATTCATTAAATTGGGATTTCACTATGTTTGAACAACTTGAGATTGCTTGCTTCTTAACTCTTACGAGGTTCCTGTCCATCATGTGGTATTTCTGTACTACATTTATATCATGGTTGGAAGGTGTGTGAATCCAGTGGTGTGCTGCAGTCCAGTGTGCAGGTGTTAGTGAATCTCAGTACTGTAAGACAGTTTTAGTAATGCTTCTCTTCCATACAGATCTAATTTATTTTCATGCTATGTTTGGTGTGTAAAACAAAAATATTACCATAACATAACCATGCATTTCACTTCTGTATACAGATATCCATCTGATATGTTACTAGCAGTGCTTTTTATGTTTTCTCAGATCATGTATACTCTTGCTATCATGCTCAGTTTTATCCTCAAGTTTGAAATATACCATATTTACGCATGTATAGGCCGCACATTTTTTGCCAAAAATTCAAGAGGAAAACTGGGGTGCGGCTTATATTCGAAATATTCGAAATCACACTTCATTTAAAAAAAATTATATTCATAATTAGTAAAACAGGGTGTTCTACTCCTGAAATAATATTCCAAGAAAATTATTTTTTCTATAATTTCTGTCTGAAAATTGTGCTGCGGCCTAAACACGCACGCGGCCTATACACGCGTAAATACGGTACTCAGCACTGGAAGATGTTTGGCACTTGACAGATGTGTCAGTGTACTTCAGTTTAGTTGTTTGCCACTATGCTTACAAGCTGAAGCAGAATCATCATTACTAATACTTAGTGCATATCAGATGATCATGATCTCTGAAGTGTCTACAGTACACAAAAATCTCTTTTAAAGTCATCTTTTGCCACAATATATTTTGTTGCTGCTGCATCTATTATGAGTAGTTTTGGATTATAATAAAATCTCTTCAGCTTAGAAGTTCGTAACAAGTAATACGTGGAACTACATAGTAACCGCAAAGTATCCCAAATGGTTCTAAAGGAGAAGAAAGTGAGAAACAAACCTTAATCTGAGATGGTCTTGGTGTATGACACTACACTGTTTTTCAGAGGGTTCTGTGTTTGATCTCCAGTTATATCTGTGGGTTTTCTTTACTCACAGATTCAAATACATGCTTAAAAGCAAATGTAAAACTTGGAATTTGAAGAATACCAGAACCCCCTCAATTTTTGGAACCCAAATTAGGCTGTAGGTCCCATATACTGACAGTCCGTCTCATGTTAATTCTGTCATTGGCATTAACAGACTCTTGTCATGTGGATGGCCCCTCCACAGAAGTGGATTCTATGCACCCTTGGCTAGGTTGGCAGAGGGCAGGCAGATCAACACTGACAGTCTTTGGAGACCCTGGACAGACAGCATTTTTAAAACAACTGTCTCTGCCCTTTGTTAAATATCTGCTTGTTTGATGTACTCATCTTGAATCAGATGCAACTCATATCTCTCATCCAGCCACAGGCAACTGTGCACCTTGCCGTTGATAAGTAACATTGTGGCAAATGATGTCTATCTCTGTAATCTGGCTCAAAACATAAGTTGTTGCTTCTTTCCAACTTGTTTTACAACAGCACTGAAATGCAGTCAACGAGTTTTCAAACTGTTCTACTTAAAAAGTGTACCATAAAATATAATACTTAAAATAAAGATATTATTACGTTATGTGTAATGAAATATCAGTTGGTGATTAATATAATGCAAGATAATTTTCTGTATAGCAATAATGGTATGTTAATGTGGCATATTCTGTAACCAGTTTTATATAAATATCATCTTGGACATTGTCCATTATCTTAAGTGTATGTAAAGTACAACACGTTTCAGGAACTGTATCTTCTTAAGTCATCAGGTG